CTTCGGGTAGCCCCCACATCTGTTTTTCTGACTTTACTTAAAAAGTCCATGCATTTGTATGGACATGTTCTAAATAGGAACAGACAATGCACGTCGTGTTCTTATTTGGAATGAAAAGAAATTTATGGTAGCAGTAGTAATTTATAAGAAATGAGCAAACGAATCTTAATAATTTTTACATAGATCGATAGCCCTGACTCTCGTCTACTCGGGAAACTGAAGGTCGTTTTTCCACGTTTAGAAATAGCTTCAAAAATTAGAAAAGAGTCAACATGAAATTTTTCGTGCTCTAATTGGAGCCAACGACTCTATGTTCTTTTCTACTCGTTTTTTCTTTTTTTCGTCGATGATAATCTGATAGAAAAATCTTTCACTCTTTATCTTTCTTTCTTTCTATCAATTAAACTACAAACAACATGTAATGGGCCTGTCCCGATCAAAACAGAGCAAGTTTAAACCAAAGTCAACGGAGGGAGAAAGAAAGAAAGAGAATTCAGAAAAATTTTGCCATCACCCAAGCAAAAATATCTTTTTTGGATCTAGCTTGAAGCTAGATTTTTGGAACATTTCTCTAGCTCCTACCCGGTTGGAGCTAGCTAAATGTTCCAAAAATCTAGCTTCAAGCTAGGTCCAAAAAAAGTACTTTTGCTTGGGACAGTAAGAGATGTATACTCCAGGGTGGACGAGCTACCTAATCGGCTCGTAGACTCGCGCTCACGAGCTGGCTCGATTAGGCTCGAGCCGAGCCGCGAGCAGACATTCTTTTTCTTCAGGCGAGCCGAGCCGATGTCCCACGAGCCGGATCGAGCGCTAGCTACGTTTTTGGATACTACGTTCTTAAATGTTTTTGTCACATATGTGGGCGAAACTACCGCTGTTAGCGCCTCTCTAGTGACAGTGTAAACACTATAATGTGATTTGTAGTTTTTTTCATCCGTTCATCCATCTATCTGTAAATTGTTTCAGTGTATCTTTCTTGTGATTCCTTAGGTCAGCTGTCGAGAAACTTGTGGTTCCACAGACAAGAATCCTTGCCTTTATGGACAAGCGACTTGCCCATATTCTCCTTTTATAAGAATCTCGTCTGTAATCACTAAACCCCCGTCCGCATTAGAGGCCCAGTGGGCTTTTATTATGTCCCGCAAGAAAGGCAAAATTTTCTCAAAAAGTACCCTATGGCGAGAGGGCAATTTTCAAAAATTTCTTGCCAGACTGGGCTTCTAATGTGAGGAGGGGTTTATCTTGTGTGGATCTCGTAGCGTTATCTTGTCTGTCAAGGCAAGAAGGTGTTTGCAGACAAGATTCTTATCTTGCCACATCTAACCAGAATCTTGTTACGCCTTTTCCAGACAGAAACGTTAGAAAATGAGGAGTTTTAAAAAAAATTAAGAAATCCTTTGAATTTTGTTCAAAATGTCGCGTTTTATACATTTTATTTTTAAATTATGATTATAAATTTTTCTTTGAAAAATTGCTCTGTCTACATTCATATGAAAATAATCCTTGTTCTGTTTTTTTCTGCATTTTATTCACTTTCACCAAGTATTTGTTTCTTTCTTTTTATTTTTTACTTGACGATGTTAGAATAAATGTACACAAAAAAAAGGAATTTTGCTTATATGTTGTTATATAAACTGTATGACAACAGTTTAATTTTAGAATAACATTAAGTCTGAAAAACAGTTGAGCACATCAAAACAAGAATAATAATTCATGGCAAATCAATGCCATTTTTATATGATTATTTGTTTTATTTTGAATATATCATTTTTGAATAGTTCTCTTATTATTGTATGTCTTGACACGAATACAACTGTAACAGATGAGTATATAAAAATGGAGTATCAATTAGGTCATCTAACAGATAATTTAAAAACATTTAATGAAGAACAAAAATGTACTGATTATATTTCAACTTTGCCTCTACCATCCTCTATTTATTTCATCTTATCCGATAGATTTTATGATAGCATTTTTCCTATTATTCAACAGCAACAACAAATCAGACCATCAATTTATATATTTTCTCCTAATACCATACCAATTAGAAGTATGGATAAAGAATGGCGCCTGAAACACATTTATTATCAGTTCTTTTCTGAATACAACTGCCTTATTTCTAAACTATCAAAAGACCTTGATACAGAAGAAAAAACTTCAATAAGTATAAATATACAAGACATGGGAAAAGGTTTAAACTGTTTAGATGAAGAAAGTAAAACATTTCTTTTGTTTCAGTTGCTAACTTTTCTTTTTCACGAACGACAACATGACACAACAGAAATCAATGATTTTGAGAATGTAACCGGTTTATATAATGAAATAGACATTTCTAATCCCGAACAAACTTATTTATCTAAAGATAAAATATGGTGGTATACAAATGATGCATTTATTTCTCGATTATTAGATGAAGCATTAAGAACAAAAAATATTTCTCTTATATTTAAACTTCGATACATTATTATCAATCTTCTGGATGAATCCTATGAACAAAATCTACATACACTATCGGTTAGTAGTGGTAAAATTTTAACATTATATCGCGAAGAGTGTATAACGAATGAAAAATTAATTAAATTAAAGCTTAATATTAATCGACTTTTATCTATAAATACATTTTATTCTACAACATTTAAAAAACCCACTCATATTTTACAGCCATCAGAGTCATCAAATATGAAATGTGTTTTATTTCAAATTGATATTGATATAAGTAAGAAAAACACTTATCCTTTTTTTATAATTAACAATGATAGATTAGAAATATTATTTACATTTGGGACAGTATTTCAAATACATTCAGTTGAATTAGATACAAACACCCAAATTTGGAATGTTAAACTAATTATAAATGATGACGTAGAAAAACAAGTTATGGATCTGATTAAATATCTGGGAGATGAATATGGTTATCCATTTGATTTTATGGTAATGGGAGACTTTTTGGATGATATAGGCAAATATGATAAAGCAATCGAATGTTATAAAATTTTTCTAGATGAAACATCACAAGATGACAAATATATTCCAATGGCTTATAATCACCTTGGACTAAGTTATTATCATAATAAATCTTATGCAGAAGCATTAGAAAATTATTACAAGGCATTGATGCTTTATCGATCCAATTCTCCATATGATCAACTATTTGTCGATATATATACACTTATTGGAAAGGCGTTTTATGCTCGAAATCAGTATTCAATAGCCATAGATTATTATAAAGAAGCAATTAATATTAAGGGAACATTGCTACCCACGAATGGGGAAATGAATTATTTATACCACAGTATTGGCGAAGCTTACTCTCAAATTGGCGATGAACAAAAATATCGTGAATACAATGCTGGAAGGCCGATAGTAATATCAGTGGGTTCTTCGAATTCGGTTATTTATCCTTGGCGCGATTTGTATATTAATAGGACAATCAATTATACGACATCGCTTGGAAATTTTCAAGATCTATTAACACATTTATTAAACAATAAATCTTCAGCAAGTCAGCAATTTGATTATGATATTGCAACGTTACTTTATAAAATGGGTGAAATTTATTTTAAAATGAAACAATACGAACAAGCACTGGAGAAATTTGAAAAAGCAGTGGATGTTTATTTGAATGTATTTCCATTAACTCTTTCTAATCTTGCACGAAATTATGATACAATAACAGACAGTTCAATTCTAATATTAAAGGATTATCTTATTGAAAATGAATATTATTTTCGAATGATACCACTTCGTTATTCTTTACTTGCTCAAACTTATTATTATATTGCAAGAGTTTATTCGTTAGAACGCAGTAGTATTATGACTGCTATCAGCATACATAAATTAGCTACTGCAATTAAATTGATTCAACAAGATTATTAATACTATTTGAATAAAAACTAATATAGATACACAAAGTAAATCTGAGTCGTCTTTTGATTGATTTATCTACTATTTATTTATTTTGTAAAATAACTGATCACCCTTTGAAAGTCGTATCAGCACACAGTAGCAATAGAAAGCAATTGAGATGACAATACACATTAGAAAATTAATTCCTCTTTCGTCGTACGAAATACAATACGTTACAATTCGTACAAAAACATACAGTCTGTTTGTGACACACTCTAACTGCACGAAAAAGTTACATATCACATATAAACCAAAGGATTTTGAAAATTTTTGAATGAACAATATATCTAACATTTCAAAATCAGAAACAGAATAAGTATAGGCATTTTCTGCACACCACTTTACACATTTTTCTAATGTAAATGTAAGATCGACGAATCTTTTCGACATTTCTAAGCAGTTTATAGAATATTCCCTCTCTGTCCAAGTCCTTCTAAACACATTCAAACTAGCGGCTACATACAAATGCATGGACTTTTTAAGTAAAGTCAGAAAAACAGATGTGGGGGCTACCCGAAA